ATGAATGAATGAATGAATGAATGAATGAATGCATGAATGGATGGAATGAATTCTTTATTGGCCATGAATGAATGGAACAAATTCTTTATTGGCCAAGTGTGCTTAGAAACACAAGGAATTTGTCTTGGTGCAAATGCTCTCAGTGGACATAAAAAGAAAATATGCATTCATCAAGAATCGTAAGGTACACCACTTAATGATAGTCACAGGGTACAAATAAGCAATCAAATCATACTAGGAAACAGTCAGCAGTCAATATAAATTGTTAACCTGATGAATCGCAAACTTTTTGGATGTTAACTGAAAGTGATTTGGGTTATGGGCACACAGTCTACATTTTGGGTTAAAGGTCAAGGTTCTCCTCTCACAAACGTGTTAGTCATTTCCGGCTCTAGGGGGCAGTGCTCATCTCTGTTACAAAGCCAACGCTGTCCGAAAACGTCTTCGTGGTCCTGTGGCCGGCAGGACTAAATGCCTTCAAAGGCACACGGAATGCTCTTCCCTTCCCACCAAAGGGGGTCCCTATTTTTCTACTTGCATTTTTCACGTGCTTTTGAACGGCTAGGTTGGCAGAAGCTGGGACAAGGAATGGGAGCTCACTCCATCACGCGGCGCTAGGGATTCGAACTGCCGAACTGCTGACATTTTGGGTTAGCCTTGGTTAATTTCCTGGAAATTGCATGCCTTGTGTTTATTTACCACTTCCGTTGCTCCATCGTTTACGGAGCCGTGCCAAGCCAGAAAACAACGGATTCCATTCAACCACCAGATTAACTTTGGGCATCCTTAGAACCCCCACTGCCAACTCTGAGCCTTCCTGAGCCAGTCAGACTGAGCTACAATGACCCCCACTTTGGCTACAACCTAGCTAGACTACTGCCACATGGTTTATGTGGGGCTACCGTTGAAGGTCTCCTGAAATTGCAATTGCTGCGGAAGGTACCTGTCAAGCCATCAGTCTGCGCAAAGTGTGAGGATCACATGGGTCTGTCCAGAAGGATCTCCACTGGTCCCCTGGATGCCCCAAAGATCTGGACTGCAAATGGCTTAACAGCTGGTTATTTGTGGGACTGTCGCCCCTGCCACCCACCGCCTAGGAGCTACCTTTCTTCAGGTGCACCTCCAGGTGCTCTTAGTCCACGAGAAGGCCAACTTTTATGGGGCTCCCATAGAGCCTAATTCCCAGGGTAAACACAGAGAAGGCCCTGTATTTTTAATAATAAATAAATCGATGTATCTTTTGCAGGCTTTTAATTTTTCATTAATTGCGTGTTTCAATTGTATTATTTTAGCTTCATTTTGGCACTGTTGCAAACAGCCCTTGGAGTCTTGGAGCAGAGAGATAAGGCCGGATCTAAGTTGCACAATCAGCCAAATGGGAATAAAAGCAACTTCAGCGAGAGGACGTTGGGGAAGGAAATCTGGAAGGGCTTCATAGGCAAGAGACTTTCCAAGCAGGAGACATCCTTCTGGAACTCACCATTTAGGGAGAGGACCACGACCAGCAAGGCCAGGCTCAGAAAGGAGAATCGCCCCATGGTCTTCCTTCCTTCCCTGCGGACAGAAGCCAAGAGGGGAGAAGGGGAAGGGAGAGCGAGATGGGTGGGAAGGCCCTCAGGAATGGCCACCCCACATCCAACCCGGGACCAAGGTGCCCCATCCCCGACCCCCAGTTTCTTTGGATCCTTGTCCATGCAACATCCTTGGTGGGTCACAGTGTGTCATATTCGAAGGGTTGGGCTCATAAAGACGAGAGACTTCGGTTATTTATCGGCTAAAACCAGCTCAGAAGAATAGCAGCCGCGGCGGCTCTTTTATAGAGCTTGCCGGGGCTTTAGCGGCCAATGACATCGCTTTAAGTCTCCCGCGCTTGGTTTTGACCAATCGCGGCAGACTCTTAGCGAGCCAATCACAGCCACCCTGGTTGTCCAATCAGGTAGCGGTTAAAGCGGACCAACGGGAACGTTGGGTGACAAGTCTGTCAATATGGAACACAGTGGAACCTGCATTGCTGTGTAATGGGGAGGGCGGCTTCCCTTAGAAAGGGTCTCTCTTTCTATATCCCCCATAGATCCCTCCCTCCCTCCTGCAAACCCCGTGCGGAAACCTGGACGTCATCTCCAGCCATCTGCAAGTGGTCCCTTCAGATGGAGAGAAAGAGACACAGAGAGAGAGACAGAGAGAGAGATGGAGAGAAAGAGACACAGAGAGAGAGAGGGAGAGAGAGAGAGAAAGAGAGAGAAAGACACAGACACAGAGACCGACAGACAGAGACAGGAAAACAGACAGAAAGAGATAGACAGAGAGACACCAAGAGAAAGAGAGAGAGACACACACACACACACACACACACACAGAGAGAGAGAGAGAGAGAGAGAGAGAGAGAGAGAAACACACACAGAGAGAGACAGAGATAGATAGATAGATAGATAGATATAATATATGAGAGAGAGAAACAGAAACACAGAGATAGATGATAGAGACACAGAGAGAGAATGCAAGAGAAAATGAGAGAGATGATAGAGAATATATATAGATATAGACATATATAGACAGAGAGAAAGAGACAGACAGACAGACAGACAGAGAGAGACAGAGAGACACACAGAGAGAGACACAGAGATGATAGATATGATAGAGAGAGAATGAGAGAGAATGCAAGAGAAAATGAGAGATGATAGAGAAGAATGATAGATAGATAGATAGATAGATAGATAGATAGAGAGAGAGAGAGAGACATAGACAGACACACAGAGAGATACATGCAAGAGCAATCTGCTGCAGGAGCCTCACCTGTCAGGTACCCACAGGTGGGAGAGCTGTACTCACCTGTCCCTTTGCCTCCCCAGGTAGCAAGTCTGCTCAGTGGCAGCTCTGGGCTTCCCTCCAGCAAAGGGAAGGGAGGCATTTATAGGCGAGGCAGGAGGGTGGGTTTCTTTTGGGGTGGTGGTGGAAATTTTTGCCTAACCACCAGGATGTAGCTTTTTTTGCAACAACTTGCAGCCACAGGCTAAGCACACATAAGTTGTATCCCTGGGGGTTTAATCAGGTGTATATTATTTACCGTATTTATTTAAAACATTTACATAGCTGCCCATCCTGTACTTTCCTCTGGGTGTCTACCAATCAATGATTAAACTAATATCAATAATAAAGCAATGTCACACGCAGGTATCATTTAGGAGCCAAAACCTGGCACCAACGTGAAGCTTTCTTCTGTTCTGCAGTCCCTCGTCCAGACTTCTTGCCGACCTCATCCCATCCCTGTGCTAGTGGGAACATCTTACCTGAATTTGGGAAGGCCAGGGGAGCAGAGACCTGCGGAAATCCAAGGGGGAAGGAAATTTCCACAGGGCTGCCACCAAAAAAACAGACTTTCTAGATGCCATAATATTTAAGGGAAGAGACTAGGAATTTGCCACAGCAGAATGATGGGATGGGTAGAGATCTATAGGAAGACATAAACTAGAACCCTGGGCCTTCTCTAACAAAATGAAATTCAACGTAGAGAAAAGTAAAGTTCTCCACTTAGGCAAGAAATGCCAAACGTGCACATATAGACTGGGTGAAACCAGGCTCAATAGCAGGAATGGTGAGAGGGATCTCGGAGTCTTAGTGGACAACCAGCTAAATAGGAGCCAGCCGTGTGCAGCAGCCGCCAAAAAAGCTAATGCAATCCTAAATTGCATTAACAGAGGGATACAATCCAGATCAAGGGAGGGACTAATACCACTCTATAAAGCCTTATTAGTAAGGCCACACCTAGAGTCCTGCATCCAGTTTTGGTCACCACACTATAAAAAAGATGTTGAGACTCTAGAAAAAGTACAGAGAAGAGCAACCAGGATGATGAGGGGACTGGAGGCTAAAACATACGATGGACGGTTGCAGGAACTGGGCTTGGCTAGTCTAGGGAAGAGAAGGACCAGGGGAGACAGGAGAGGAGTCTTCCAATATTTCAGGGGCTGCCACAGAGAGAAGGAAGGGGGTCAAGCTATTTTCCAAGGCACCTGAAGGCCAGACAAGGAACAATGGATGGAAACTGACCAAGGAGAGAGAGATTCAACCTGGAAATAAGGAGAAATTTTCTGACAATCAGAACAATCAACCCATAGAACAGAAGTTGTGGGAGCTTCATCACTTAAGACTTTCAAGAAAATACTGGACTCGCATCTGTCAGAAATGGTGTAGGGTCTCCTGCTTGGGCAGGGGGTTGACTAGATGACCTCCAAGGTCCCTTCCAACTCTATTAATCTGTTAATCCAGATAACCTTGCTCAATGCTGCAGAAGGCTTTAAAGGTAACAACCAGCACCTTGAGTTGCACCTGGAAGGGGAACCAGGAGGCAGCACAACTCATGCCACTGTGGAGTTACCTGGCCCAACCTAGGACCATCCATCACTGTGCATGCTGCTGCATTCTGGACTAGTTGTACCTGCTGGAGGGTCTTCAAGGGCAGCCCCATGGATAGCACATTGCAGTCATCCAAGCAGGAGGTGACCAAGGCCTGAGTGACCGTGAGCAGAGCCTTCCATTCCAGGGATGGGAGCAATTGGTGCACCAGCCAAATGGGTGCAGAATTCCCTGTTATCCATGGTTGCCTACCAGTCCCAACTCCAGAAGTTGGTCCCAGAAGGATGCTATGCTTGAATGTAGGAGAAGCCACTGAGAAGACCTGGAGGCTGAGAACAGTTGTTGCACCTCCTATCCCAAGCTCTCCAAAGGCCACTGGCAAATTTGACCAATGCCATTGCGGTGCTGTGTCCAGGCCTGAACTCAAAGACCGAAAAGGTTCCAGAAGTTACAACCCACAGTTGTTATGTGGACCTTCACCTGAGGAACAGAACATAGAAGAACAGAGTTGGAAGGGACCTTGGAGATCTTTTAGCCCAATCCCACCCCATCCCATCCAACATCACTCAAAACTAGGCACGCACGCCCCTAACTACCTCTATTCTAACCACAACTGGCCTTAAATGCAAGCTACTCAATGCAAGAAGCCTTGTGAATAAAATACCTGAATTTCTCCTCTAACTAAATACGGCTAAATTCGACATTATATTTGTCTGTGAAACATGGCTCAACGCATCTCTCCCTGACTCCATTACCACAGTAAGAGACTGTCATGTTTACCGATCAGATCGTGAAATCCGTAGAGGAGGTGGTGTTGCTATCTTTTATAAAAAGTCCCCACATCTAAAAAAAAAAAATCTACACAGACTTCTGTAAAGCCTTTGATTCAGTGACAAACTACTCCTAAAACTAAAATCTTACGGTATCTCTGGACACCGGCATCACTGGATAGAAGCATTCCTGTTAAACAGACAACAAATGGTCAAAATTGGGAGCGTCCTATCAATTCTGTACCTGTCCATACTGGTGTCCCCGAAGGCAGTGTTTTAGGACCAACTCTCTTCATACTCTACATAAATGACCTCTGTGATCATATCAAGAGCAACTGTGTCCTCTTCGCTGATGATGTAAAGCTATTCAACACCACAGACAATACTGCTACCCTTCAAAAAGACCTCGACTATCTATCAGAATGGTCAAACAAATGGCAACTTTGTCAATGTCTGGAATACTCTACCTGACTCTGTGGTTTCTTCCCCAAACCCCAAAAACTTTAACCTTGGACAGTCTACTGTTGACCTCACCCCTTTCCTAAGAGGTCTGTAGGGGTCGTGCATAAGCGCACCTATGTGCCTACCATCCTTGTCCTATTGTTTCTTTTATTTTTCTTATATGTATCCATGTATTCATAACTATGTTTTTACTTATACCTGTTATCTTGTAAGCAATTGACAAGAGTAAATAAATAAAATAAACCCCCTGCCTAGGCAGGAATCCCTACATCACTTCAGACAAAAGGGTTATCTAACATCTTTTTTAAAAAAAGGAGAAGACAAATTTGGTCCTGGCAGAAACTGATAGGCAAACAAAGAGAATATTTATCACATTCCTCCACGGAGGCACAGTTCAAACACAATTAACAAGTCAAAAATCAGCAGGGATGGAAACCGTAGGGAAGCAATACAATCATGAGCCAAAATACACCTTACGCAGGAACAATAAAACCTCATAAAGATCAACTGGTTACAGTCTTTACTCTTTGATAAGGGGTGTTTTGCTTCTGTGGGGCAATAAAAAAATGTGATTATCAAACATTTTACAACCCACAAAGTGTTGCCTCCACACACAGTCAAGATCCTTGCGTCCCATGGAAAGTTGACTAATGTAAAATGACGACAAACTTAAATCTAAGAGAAAAAGACGATAGATTCTGTGCACAAGAAATATGTCCCAACCAACACACTGTATCATTGAAAGAAGATTTTATTTGTTGTTTTATGTTTATGTTTGCTGTTAAAAATAAAAAAAACTAAAAAAAAAATCCTTGTGTCTCAGCATTGAAAGGGGAAGACATTACATTGAGGCCTGAGGCCACACACACAGACACAAACACACACACACACACACACACACACACCTGGTTTATTCCAAATTGAACTGAGAGCATGCTGCCATTGGTAGCTCAATTGCCCAAGAATATAAAACGACGAGGAATGTAAAATAAAGAAATAGGGAAAGTCCCCTTTAAATCCTTGAGGAAGCCACAGCAAAGCGCCCTCTAGGAAAGCCAGAAAGGGCCAGGGACAATTCAGGGAGGGCGCCCCCTGCTGGTTTGCGGTTTTGTGGTTTTCCTCTTGGCTAGCAAAAAAAAAAAAAAAAAAAGTCGAGAAAAGAAAGGACTCGCTTCGGAAGGAAAGAGCTAAAAATATTCTCTACACCGAGTCGGCCAGGAAATAATCCAACCACGTAGAAAGAAGCCACCCAAAGCAAGAACTGTTTAAAGGGTTGTGTAAACTTCCCTTTTCTTTGCCAGCTTCTTTGTGAAAGTGACAAATGAGCCCCCAGGGGCACGCAAAGAAACCTCCGACACGAGGAGTAATTTTGTTATGAGTAATCTTGTACAACGCAGGTAATCGTGTGCCAAAAAATGCAAAACATAATCCATCTAGTATGGACAGGCCTGTTGTGGCCCGCCAGCAGTCAGCGGATCTGGCAGCAGAGTCAGACAGTGAGGAGGTTGGGGCGGAAGCTGGGCCAGTCCTGGAGTCTGGGGGCGGCTCCGAAGAAGGCTCTGTTGTTAGGAATAACATAGGTTACCTAACGTAGTTTGGGTAAAATAATATATATAAACTATGATAGTAAGTTTAAGTGTGTGTCACTTTAAACTGCAAAGCATGTAATTTTGGGTGTGGTTGTGAAACCGTCATAAGAGGGAGCAAGAGAACCTGCTGGATTGCTGACGATTGCTGGTTTGATGGATTGATGGTTTGCTAACTGCGTGTTTTCCCTACTGCTGAGTTTTTGAACGTCGAAGGAAGAAAGGAGGTTTTGAGTTCTTCATATCTCTACTGCGAGGAGATATATTCCTGGACTGATATTTGTAAGTTTACTGACCTCTCTTTTTCGACACTGGAATTTGCAACTGAATAATCCCTGGACGGACTGAACTAGTGAATGATATATGGACTATTTGACTATGCTAAAAACTCTTACTGGAATAAACTGTTTAACTAGCACGGTGTATCTGTTTTACTGAGTGTAAGCTACAAAAACGTTTATCTCACATATTTTGCCTGCCTGCCTGACTGCCGTGCAGATTCTGCTAGGGTGTATCCCTAACAGTACTATCCTGGCACACACCCCTCATTACAACATAAGAGATTTTCAGAGTTTCCTGGGCTTTGCTAATTTTAACAAGAAGTCCATTGCTAACTTTTCACTCGAAGTTAAGCCTCTCACCTAATTGTTGAAAAAAACAAAAAAAAACAAAGTTTGCTTGGATGAAGAAGGAACAATCTGCATTTGGAAAGTTACAAATCGTTTCTCCCCCACCCTAATTCATCAAAAGCAATTTTTATCATTCAGACTAGCAAGTCAGACATTGTGTTAGGAGTGGTTTTCTTACAAGAGGAAGAAGGGGGCAGCTACTCCCCTCTGCTTATACTCAAAAGCATTAACATTTCCAGAAAGCAATTGTGACATTGTTAATGAAGGAGTTGTTAGCTGTAGAAGCAGCTTTTAAGCAACAGCAGGGCGGGTTGTAAGACGCTTCTTTCTCAGTAGATGTTTGTACAGAGCACAACATTTGCAGATATTGCAGAAAACTCAACTGCTTTCCACAAGGAAGTGAGATAAAACCAGTTTTACTTTGACTGTTTTTTTAACCTATGTTTCTGGGTTGTGCAATTTGTTGCTGAATGCTCTATAAGAGAAAACAGATAATCAGAGTTGGAAGGGACCTTGTAGGTCATCTAGTCCAACCCCCCACCCAAGCAGGAGACCATTTTTGACAAATGGCAGTCCAATCTCTTCTTGAAAGTCTCAAGTGATGACTTGAGACGATCTTGCAAGCCTGAGTATTTTCAGGCACAACGGATATTTTCGTCAACCCAAATCTACAGGAATGTTTCTGCCAGTAAGCCTATTGTGCAATCTTGAAAGAGCGCAGCTCAGCTGCTTCTGTGGTGTCCTTGGCCACTTTCAGTTTGGCTACCAGGTGTTGATGTTTTGTGATTCCATTGTCTGCAGTCTGGAGTTGCTCACGCAGTGGGGAAACTCTGAGGTTTTCCCCACACTCGTGCACTACAGGAAAGTGGTGCTGAGGCCCATCAGATACACATCCCTCCAATTAAAATGAGGTGGACAGGCCAGAAAACATTGTAGCCTCAATGGATGGGCCTCCTAAAGAAAGAAACACCTTTAATGCCAAGGTCTCTCAAGCAGAACAGAGGTGGTATTCAGCCGGTTCTGACCGGTTCTGGAGAACCGGTAGCAGAAATTTTGAGTCATTCAGAGAACCAGCCAATCCCACCTCTGACTGGCCCCGCCAACCCCATATCTCTTCTCAGCCTCCCATTGAGTCCCAGCTGATTGTCTGGGTCTCCTTTGGTTGCCCTGCACAGGAGAACAGAGCTGGAAAGCAGGTTAGTGGGGTGGGGAGGGAAATGGGGATTTTGCAGTATATCCTTCCCCTGCCACGCCCACAAGGTCCACAGAACCGGTAGTAAAAACAAAAATTAATACCACGACTGGTGCAGAAGATTTCGGGGTCTTGAGTTTGGGACCTCAACAGTCTCCCGGTTCTGCAGAATAAAGGAAGGCGGCCATGCTCGATAGATTTTATTTGACTTTCTGGCCCTTCAGGATGAGCAAAATCAGATCCAAGCTACCGAAAGCATCCATTAGGCAGAGGTTCCCAACCAGGAGTGCGAGACAATATTCCAAGGGTACAAAAACTTGGGTTTAGAAGTTTATATTGACTGTTTCCTAGTATGATTTGATTGTTGATTGTACCCTGTGACTATCATTAAGTGTTGTACATTATGATTCTTGATTCTTAACGAATGTATCTTTTCTTTACATATACTGAGAGTATTTACACCAAGACAAATTCCTTGTGTGTCAAATCACACTTGGCAAATAAACCTATTCTATTCTATTCTATTCTATTCTATTCTATTCTATTCTATTCT